CCTTCACCCTCACAGGGTGGGGGACAGGCCGACAGGTTCACCCTCAGACCTTCAGGCCCCACCTGGGAGCCGCCCTGGCCAGAGACCTTCAGTTGTCTGAGGAGTATTAGGGGGAAGCCTCGGAAGGCTGCCGAGAGAAAGAAGAGGGAGGGCAGGACCCCTCTGAAGGGTGAGAGGGCAAAGCCCTCACCCTTTTGGGCCTAGGCCTCTGGCTATTTCCTCCTGGGGCTTCGGATCCTCTCCCGGGAGTAACCTTGGCGGAAGGTGGTCAGTTCTGCAAGGACCGCTAAGTCGGGCCACCAGGGAACGTCCCCAGGACCCGGGGAGGGCCTTGGCCCCGTCGTGGCAGAGGTTCCCCGGGGGGGGCCCACACAGGGGGTGACCACTGGGTGGAGGCCCCAGGCGCGGGCAGTGAAAGGATTCACCTGAGGCCAAAGAACCAAGGAGAGAGAAGTTTATAGAATATACCACAAGGGAGCGGTGGGCAGGACAACGGAGGAGAGGCTGTCTGCCTGGAAATGTCATTCTTGTTTCTTAATGTAACTCCATGATGGTAGTTTTCTTTTTTCTCTTTCTTTCTGCCTTCATTTATGGTCTAGATGCCAGTTTCTTCCAGAATTGTTAACCATTTGCTTATGTTTGGTTTGTGTAATGTGCACGGTGCCGGGGGTAAGGGGTAGTTCCTATGAATGATTTTAGTTCTTTTGTGCTTCAGCCAGAGGTCTTGAGGAAGAGAGGGAGGGTTTGAGGTTAAATTTTTAGTGAAAGGTAACGGAAGACACGTAATGGACCAAAGATGCTTGAAAATTCAACAAGAAACAATAACCAGGTCTTATTGTCCTTCTTTCTCTTTGACGAGAAATGCAGGCTCACAGCAATGGGGAGTCAGGTACCTGTGTCATCGCGATACTTGATAGCCTAACATTACACATCTCTGTCTCAGACCAGTGTTTCTTAGAATTAAAAACAAAATGGGGGGGGGGGGCATGTAGGCTATCCTGTCGTCAGTGAGGACAGCTTTAACTTCTCTCTTAAAATCATAGTTCACATTGGGGCGCCTGGGTGGTTCAGTCGATTAAGTGTCAGACTTCGACTCAGATCATGATCTCACAGTCCGTAGGTTCGAACCCCACATCGGGCTCTGTGCTGACAGCTCAGAGCCTGGAGCCTGCTTCAGATTCTGTGTCTCCCTCTCTCTCTATCCCTCCCCCACTTTCTCTCTGTCTCTATCTCTCAAAAAAAAAAAAAAAAGACATAAAATAATTTTTTAAATCATAGTTCACATAATATTGTGGCCACAAGAGTCCTTGATGACAGCTTGAGAAATCACTGGGTTTATGTGTCGTGGTTGTGATACCTAAGAACATTACATTAACAAATAGGACATCAATTATAGGGGCACCTAGGTGGCTCAATTGGTTAAGTGTCTTACTCTTGATCTCACCTCAGGTCATGATCTCACAGTTTGTGGGGTCAAGCATCACATCAGGCTCTGTGCTGACAGTGCAGAGCCTGCTTGGGATTCTCTCTCTCCCTCTCTCTCTCTGCCCCTCCCTTGCTTGCTCGCTCTTTCTCTCAAAAGAAATAAACTTAAAAAAATACAAAAAAATAAGATCTATTATAAACTCTTGGGAAAGCTTAGATTTCAATTTCACAAGTTTGCAATGTGCATTGAAATGATTTTTTTTCTTTTTGCCTGTAAAGACTCACATAGTCGCTATAGTTTCTCTTTAATGCTAAGCTTTTTCAATAGATGCAGATAGTTATTTAAAAAAATTTTTTTAATGTTTATTTATTTTTGAGAGAGAGAGATACAGCATGAGTTGAGGAGGGGCAGAGACAGGGTGACACAGAATCCAGAGCAGGCTCCAGGCTCTGAGCCGTCAGCACGGAGCCAGACACAGGACTCGAACCCACGACCCGTGAGATCATGACCTGAAGTGAAGTCAGATACTTAACTGACTGAGTCACCCAGGCGCCCCTGAATGCAGACAGTTCTGAGGAGAGACTTGGATAGAGGTGTGTATGATGTTCTGTCACAAATATCTGTTCTGTTTATGGAGCTCTATACTGCGGTGGCTTAACCGGTTCTCTGCAGGGAGTGGAGAAAGGGTAATCTCAGAAGGTCAAAGGATTAACATTTCCCCAGAAAGCTTCTGATAGAAAGTCTAAGATCACATGGAGGTAGAAATAAAACCAAATACTCTGCAATTCAAGTGTTTTCATAGGGTTCCCATATACAAAATCCAGGTTTGTGTTTGTGTGTACGAGGGTTGTAAGCCTTGTGAGGTAACCATAACAGGTATTGTTGTTGCTGTTCATTCTCAATTGAGAGAAGAGAGTCTGGGGAGCAGTTTAAGTAACTTTCCTCTCGTCACCTGGTCGAGCGGAACCATGACTAGGGCCCAGATATTCCAACAGGTGTTCACGGCACCGTTCACTTCGTTTCCTCAGTCGCCTTCCCCGTGAGCCCAGAAACTGTACGTTTTCAGAGTCTCTCTGCTTCAATCTCGGGTGGCAGCCATGGGTATCAAGGCGGTCACACTGGAGTCTGTGTGGCAGAGGGATGGCAGAGGGGACCTCAGGCTGAGAGCCGATGGACAGGCCTTGGTGTCATTGACTCATTTGCCCCTTGGTGTGACTCTCCTTTCTGTGAGCCAGCTTTGATGCTCCTCTTGAGTGTGGCCTGTGCGCTGGAATTCTTCCCCGTATTTCCTGGCTCCAGTTCTCGTGTGCTTCCCCTTCTTGGTACAAGAGACCGCATTTAGCATAGTAACTTCTAGAGCAAGTGATGGTTCACCCTTGTCTCTAACAAGAAAATAAGAGCTAAAACACAGCACCTGTACTGCAGTTCACTATGGGAGGACCCCTCTTCCCAGCTATCTTGTAGTCTCCCGTTCATACCACATCATCTTTTCTTTTCCAGTTCATACTGAATCATGAGCATTTCCCCATGTCTTTAAACGTCATTTGAAAATATTTTTCATGATTGCTCAAGCATTCCAGTGTATGAATTTAGCATAATTTATAAAGTGACCATTTATAATTGGGTTCAGAATAGGTTCACAATTATGGCATCAGTATTCTGACCATAGAATTTATTTGATATTAAGACTTTTTTTTTTTCTAGGAGAGAGAGAGAGAGACAGCATGAGCAGGGGAGGGTCAGAGAGAGAGGGAGTCACAGACTGAAACAGGCTCCAGGCTCTGAGCTGGCAGTCAGCACAGAGCCCGACGCGGGGCTCGAACCCACGAACCGCGAGATCATGACCTAAGCGAAAGTCGGACGCTTAGCCGACTAAGCCACCCAGGCGCCCCTATTAAGACTTTTTTTAATGTTTATTTATTTTGAGAGAGAGGGAGTGGGATGCGTGCCTGTGAGCAGGGGCAGGGGGAGGGCAAAGGGCAGAGAGAGGAGGGAGAGAAAGAATCCCAAGCAGGCTCTGCACTGTCAGCACAGAGCCCAATGTGGGGCTCAAACTCACGAACCCTGAGATCATGGCCTGAGCTGAAATCAAGAGTCGGATGCCTAGCCGACTGAACTCCTGCCCCAGTAGTTAAGCTTTTATAAAAGACTGGTACAATAGTAATATTTTTAATGTAGCAGGTTGATATATAAATCTGTAAGTTTGAAAAATCTGAACTCAGTTTTAAATGATCACCACTTTATAAGAATCATTAATTCATCGACCAGCTTATGTATTTTTGGGATGTCTTCTTCCAACGTGAGTGCTTGACCTTTTTTTCATCATGCAGACAGAAAAGAGCTCACCAATTATGAGCAAACTAGTAGAAATTGCGGAGTCAACATCTGGATTTCCTAAGAGTTCTGTCTTCTGGAACTGTGGCCCTTAGTCTCCTGTGGGTGGTGTTGGGCTCGGTTGGGAGGGAGAAGGGGGAGTCAGAGGTTTCCATAATGCTGGCAGCCCCTCTCCTGCCTTCTGTCTGACCTCATCTTCACCCACTACCCATGATCCATGTGCAAGAGTGAGAATATGAAGTTTGTTCTTGGTATTATCCCTCTTCTTTCTGTTGTTTTTTTTTTAATCCAATTTCTTCTTTCCCCAGGTTTTACTCAGACCTCCTCACCATAACATCCCCCAAAGCCCACAGTTTTGGGAAGGTCTCATTCTGCTAAATGGTCCTTACCATTATATTTCCCAGCTGTATTTGCTATTAAGAGTGTTCCTATGTAAGTCAGTGCCTTAATTTTACAATTGGCCCGTGGCCCACACAGGGGTTAGGGCTCCCAACACCCCACCCCACACAGTTGAAAATCCACGTATAACTTGACTCCCCCGAAAATTAGCCTACTGTTGACCAGAAAACTTACTGATAACATAAACAGTTGATTAACACGTATTTTGTATGTAATATGTATTTTATACTTTATTCTTGCAATAAAGTAAGTTTCAGAAGATATTAACAAAATCACAAGAGAAAATGCATTTATAGTACTGTACTGTACTTATTGAAAAAACCCTGCGTGTCAGTGGACCCATGCAGTTCAAACCCGTGTTGTTAAAGGATCAGCTGTATTTTGATTCTGTTTAGCCTGCTCCACATGAGAGTCACAGGGTTCTACTTTGGGGAAAACTGTGAGGGAAAGGACCACTAAGTAAAAATGGAATAAAGAAGTCATAGGAGTTAAAAAAAAGAAAAGAAAAGAAAAGAAAAAAATATTAAGAAGGCATTTGCCATTAGTGCAAAAGAGTGGTTTTTCTTTGCCAAACCTATGGGGGATAAAAGGTGTGAGCATACAGGAATTTGACTTGTTGCCTTGTTGAATAAACAATATATCGAGGTCATACATAATTAATGCCCTGTCTCACATTCATTCCGAAGTGACGGCTCTTACCTTTCACACTTGGGATAACTGATGTTCCCGAGTCCCAGAGCCCCAGGACTGCCAGTGAAGGAAGAAGAGGCTGCGGTGGTTACGTAACCTTTGTGCTACTGTAATGTGATGGGTAATTGTCTTTTGTCTTCTTGACTTCTAGTGCTTGAAACAGTACCTGCAGCTGGCGATCCGAGAGGGGTGTGGGTCTCCCATCTCTTGCCCTGACACGGTGTGCCTCAGCCATGGGATCCTGAAGGAAGCGGAGGTACGGACGAGGGCCATGCCCTTCCCTCTTTCCTGTTGACCTTATCCCGTAGGACCTTGACTACGTACTTCCCTACCAGGGGGTCTAGAAAAAAATACAGAGGCTAACTTTTTAAAGGAATACTTGATTTTTACGTACCTATGGATTCTTCATATAAGCTGTTCAAGCTGTACCTCAGATCTATTTATAAATGCTGTCTGAGTGTTGGAGAAGCTCTAGAATGGGCGAAGGTGCTAGAAAGCACATTTGGTGGTTCAGGATGAATAATGGTGGTTGCTGAATAATGAGTGGTCTTGTGGTCTTTAATAGTTGAAAGACAAACAGATGACCAATTTCAACCAGTTATAGACATTATAAACTAGTGCCATCTACAAAGGTAGACTGAGTCAGACCGTTTCCACAGGAGTTTCGTTTGATCTTTGTCGGGGATCAGGAATGTCTTTTTTAAATGAGTTCTCCCATTTTCTTAAGACTGTGATGTATCTCTTTGCTTTGTTTCTTCAGTCCCTGATCAGTAGCTTGCCCTTGAATCTGCTTTTAATCTTCAGGTCATGCTCACTTTAAATAAGAGGATAACCAGCTCTTGCCCATTTTTGGGAAGTTTGTAAGCCTAGGAAAGAGGGCCCAAGAAACAGAAGAAATCAGTTATTCATTCAGCAAACAAAGTACGCCTGCTGTGTGTTAGTTCTTCCGGATACATTCATATCTGGTCTACCATCTAATCCTTTCACCAAAACTTAGGAAATGGGAGCCCAGAGGGTTTAAGTAATTTGCCCAAGAGTGCATATCTAAAAAGTAGAAGAGCTGAAATTCTAATCGGGTTCTTTCTGACCACCATAACCACTTGGCTTTGAGACTGGAATGAGGTAGGTGACGCCTGAGGTGGCTCAGTCGGTTAAGCAACTGATTTCAGCTCAGGTCATGATCTCATGGCTCATGGGTTCAAATCCTACATCGGGTTCTGTGCTGGCAGCTCAGAGCCTAGAGCCTGCTTCGGATTCTGCGTCTCCTTCTCTCTCCTCCCCTCCCCTGCTTGTGCTTTCTCTGTCTCTCAAAAATAAATAAACATTGAAAAAAAAAGTGGAATGAGGTAGATAGATTATATGGTAAAGGACTTGGAGACTCAGTAGTGTATGTGTGGGGATATGTATATGTGTGGGGATATACTTTGGTTACAAATGCATATGCTTTTACATATATATCCTTTGACTTATAAGCTAAACAATTGGAAAGATGTTACTAGACCATTTGTAACTGGTCTGCATCTGGGTTGCCCATGTTTAGCTATCACCGAGGTGGCGCAAGTGAGCTTGAAATGATTTTTAGGGAAGAATGAAGGGAATGCATAATGGTTTAGAAGTGATTCGTTTTAGGAAACTCATGAAATAATTGAATTTTTTGATAAAAAAGTAATAATGCATATGTAATCCTGAGGTGAGAAATACTGGTTACTTTTGTTTCAGAAAGGGGTGGAAGGAAATTAAAGTGGAGAAAGATTGGGTTAGCTACCAAGGATACTATTAATTTGTACAACTTAGAAATGGGTTTTAAAATAAGACTTGAGTGTTCAGAAGCATTGTTCTATACGTCATCATTCTAGAAAAGATGCTTCCTTTTTGATTCGCTTCTCCAATATTCTCATCAGTGAGCAATGTTTACTAAGCATGCAGTGACATGTGTCACGTCAGGATTGAGAGGTGAGTAAGCCCGGCCCAGCATTGCCCTCCTGCAGCTTCTGATCTAGCAGAGTGACATTAACCTGTAACAAGTCAGATAGTTCTAGTAAGCCAAACACCTGACATGAAGCAGGCAGCAAGAGCTGTGTCTCCTAGGAAATCCTAGTTAATATATGTATGCAAAGTCTATTAAAAATAAGTGAAATGAATAGTTTGATGAACTTTCCAGAAGCCTTTGAAATGAACCACAGTCCTGTATTCTAGATCTTGTGCTCTCCAATTCAGTAGCTCCTAGCTCCATGTGGCTACTTACGTTTAAATTAATTACATTTAAATAAAATTGCATTCCTTTGGTTGCACTAATCATGTTTCGGGTGCCCAGTAGTAGCCACACGTGGCTCGTGGTGGCCTAATCAGAGAGCACAGAATACAGCATCTCCATCATTGCGGAAAGTTCAGTGGCCTGGTGGGTTCTAGACTTTTAAATGGATGGTAACCATTATCCACGGACACTTGGGTTATCAAATGTTAGAATACCATGTATTCAGGCGAGTGAGTGGAGACAGGCCGTGGTTTGTTTTGCAGTTCTCTAGAACAGAGTTTGACTTTTCTAATTTTCTTAGTATAGAATTTTCTTTTCACATTCCCCTGCTATTCTGCCCTCTGTCTTATTTCTTACCCTTCCCCATTGTACATCCTCATTCACACCTCCCTGGTACTCTGTACACCCAGCTTGACTCTCAGAATGGTTTAACTTTTAGGCTGTATGGAAACCAAACAAATCCATTGTGTCCCTTAGAAATTACCAACGGATATGTGAAAAACAAAACAAAATAAAAACATCCTTCGAACTAAAAGCTATGGTTATTTTTTCAATTCCTCAAAGTCTCTTTCCCATTAGATGAGCAAGAAGACACCCAGGCATTAAAGGACCGTTTCTGTATGCACTGGTCTGCTGAGAGCCTGACTAAAGATGGGCACGAATGTACAGTAATCACAGTTCTTAACCAACTGGCCACTTTTGTTTTCCCGTAGAGTAAAATATTGTGGGAGTAGTAGTGGCAGTCTCTCATTTTCAATTGAGACATGAATAGAGTATTATGTTAGAGATATTTGGTAGCTTTATCAGTTTATATGGGGCCACTCCTTTTTAAAAATTAATTTTAATTAATTAGAGAGTGTGAGCAGTGGAGAGGCAGAGAGACAGAGAGAGAGAGAATCTTAAATAGGCTCCGTGCCCAGTGCAGAGCCCAATGTGGGGCTCCATCTCAAGAGGTCATGACCTGATCTGAAATCAAGAGCTGGATGCTTAACCCACTGAACCACCCAGGCACCCTTGGGAACACTCCTTTCAAAGCATATACCACATACACATGAACTTGTGCTGGACCATCTTCTTTTCTGGCTTCCTTTACATCAAGCTTTCTCTTATACAGTTATTATAATAGGCAGCTCTTAGATATGAGCAAGTATATCACAATGGCATTATCCACCTCATTGCTTGATTGGACTCTGTCTCCGTGAGCACGTATCCTGCCTTAAAAAAATGTTTACACAGATAATGCATAAATATACTTTGCATGTTAAAAGTAATGGTGGTTCAGACTCAAGTTCCCTTTGTGCTGCTGCTATTTATGTTACAATATGTGGTTCCTCATCATTCATTGTCTTCTAAAAGGCGTGGAAGTATAACATTTCTTCCCCTTCAGGGGACACCAGCAGCGTAAGCTCTTTTCTCCAAATGCTCTCCAGTGTAGATCTCGCTCACACGGTTGTCTGTGTTCCCGGCCTCGGCCTCCCACCCCCTGTGGGTCCTGCCTGATTCTTACCGCTTCCCAGGGAGCTCTCAACTATGGCTCTGCCCTGTGACTTTTATTGACCAGAACAGGTTCATTAGCAAAGCACTTAATGCCCCACCCAAGTACCACTGGCATGTGGAGGAAACCGTAGAAAGGACATCTTCTCTTCCATGTCACACAAGGTGATGGGAGGCGGTGGCTGGAGGCCATCCCGCTGGGGGCCCCGGACAAGTAAAACTCGGCCTTCCTTGCGCTGTCGGGTACTTCTGGCCGTGGCAGGACTCTCCTCATGGACTCGATCCAGGAATTGTGTCCAGCGCGGAGTTGTGAGAGGTGGGACCCAGATTGTTTGCTCCCATAGCGTTACTTCAGGCAAGGCCTTCTGTGCGAGGTGGTGGCCCTGTTCTGACGGTGATGAGTAACGGAGCCCTTCCCTCCCAGCGGAGGGGTAGTAGCACACGGCCACTTGCTGGGGGAGCCCTAGCCGTGTGTCTGTGGCCTCCCTGTAAACGTCGGGTGGCGAGCGCAAACCTGCCATTACGTGGCCTGAGTGATGGGGCTTCCTCTGTCTGCCCACTGGTGGTGGAGGCCAGGGAGCAGCTTCTCAGCCACCAGCCCTCCTCCCAGGTCCTGGGGCATCGAAGTGACCCGCCTGCATTTTGCCGCTAGAGCCCCCAGTGCACCCGCGCCAGGATGGGGGCCCTGCTCTGGCCAAGAAAGGGGGCTGCAGGATTCCTCCAGGCCGGGCCTCAGGATGGGGCACCGCGGAGGCCCAGGAGAGCGGACTGGGGGGCGGTGGAGCGCTAAGGAATTTGAAGCTGCGTTTGCGAACTAAATACGGGTTTTACTCATGGTGCATGTTTATTGGGATGATTTCAGTAAAGGCTGCGGGGATTATAGCGATCCATGTGCTCCCCGCAAATTGCGCGTCAGCACAGCCCCCCCCCCCTCGCCGTCTCTCTCACACTCCTCCTTCCCATCATGACGGTGTGAGGTGGGGCACGGGGGGCTGAGGATGCCCAGGCAGGCAGCCAGAGCCCTGTTGCTGCCGTTTCGAGATCTTCATGAGAAGGGACCAGAGTGTGTCCATAATTCCCTTTGGCTGCGATGTGTGTTAGTGGGAAAAGAGTCGAACCTGGGGGCGACAAAGGATAAAGGAATCTGCTATGCCGGCGTTAATAGATATTTTTGAGGTGCCCAGTTGAATTTTATTTTAGAACGTAAGGCTTTGCTTTAAAACTGCATATAGGGGCACCTGGGTGGCTCAGTCAGTTAAGCGTCCGACTTTGACTCAGGTCATGATCACAAGGGTCGTGGGTTCGAGCCCCGCGTCGGGCTCCGTGCTGACAGCTAGCTTAGAGCCTGGAGCCTGCTTCAGATTCTGTATTTCCTTCTCTCTCTGACCCTCCCCTGCTCACGCTGTCTCTCTCTCTCAGAAATAAATAAAAAGCATTTAAAAAAATTAAAAATAAATTAAAAAAAAGCATTTAAAAAAATTAAAAATAAATAAAATAAAACTGTATAT